GCCACGTGACATATATGTATTTATTGGTCCAGCCCAAAGAACACGCCAACTGGGTGATAGAAAACACTGTGGTCCAAAGGGCTCACAGGGAGATATTTGGCCATCGCATGCAAACGTCTTTTACTGCCAACGAAATTTCCTCAAACCCAACTCTTTGCATGTAGTAGGGTAGAGGTAAATTATTTTTAAAAAAAAATGTCTTATTTTTTGATATTTTTTTAAATAAAAGAAAAATATAAGATTTCACAATTATAACAAAAAAATATATATACATATTTTTTATATTTGAATTATAATTTTTTTATTTATTTTCAATGTAAACCATCTGTCTATTATTGTTTAGTAAAATAAAAAAAATGCAATTTAGTTATTAAACTCAACGAATTTTTTTTGTTGAATTTAATAACTAAAATAAATTTTTTCGTCAATTTTACTCAATGAGAATATGCACATGATTTAGATTGCAAACAAATAAAAAAATTAGAATTTAAATTAGCAAAATTAAAAATTTAGGATTTATTTTGTTATAAAGGTCAAATTATGAAGAAAAAAAAATTCGCTGTAATTTTCATTTTTTTAACAAAACTATTTATTAGAATAACATAATTAGTATTTTATTTTAATTTTTATAAAAAAGACATTTTGATATTTTTTTAGTTTGATAAATTTAACTTTAATTTTTATTGTTTCAATTTAAATAATTTAGTCCTTAGGTTCAATTTTAATTTGTTCATATTTTATTAATTATTTTTCAAATTTTCATTCCAATCACAATTAAAAAAAAAAATTTGCCACTAATTTATAATTTGAAAAATTTATCCAAAAATCTCATATAAGGGAATGTTAATCCATTTAGTCCAAATAGTTTTCTTATAGACCAATTAGTCTTTTTTGTTTTGCAAAGTTGTTTTTATTTGATTTGTAATTCATTTTTCTAATTTTCTAATTCATTTTTTAGATGAGAATGAAAAAGTAAGGTGTAAAATATTCTTTTTTGGGGATTAGTGGCTGAAGTGTTGATTATCAAGCGTTGAAATATACATTTATGTTAGTTTGATTTTTTGTTATTACATTGAAGTGTTATATTAGAGTATTACGTTTGAATAAAAAAATATACTAAAGAATTTTTGTGTGTTATATTGATTGAAGTGTTACGTTTGGAAAAAAAATACATTAAGAAATTTTTTGGAATGTTCCTTTGATACATTTGAAAAAAAAAAATATAGCCTCCGTTTGGAAAGTGGGTTGGCTTTTTAGCCTTTTGACCTTTTTAGTTATTTTAGCCCGGGCTAAAAAGCTTGGTTTGGGAAGAGCTTTTTGACTTTTTTTTTGTGAGAAAAGAGTGTAATAATTATGAGTTGGATGTGATATTTTGTTTGTTATAACTAAAATAGCCTATTTGTCTTTTGTGGCTAAAATAGCCACAAAAAGCCCGTGACAAACGGAGTGGCTAAATATAGTTTCTCAGTGTATTACCTTGATTGGACATTTGAAAAAATAAACTAAGCAGTTTTTTTAGAATATTACATTATTATGTTTGAAAAAAATACACTAAATAATTTTTTAGTGTGTTACATTAAAGTGTTACGTTTTTTTAGTGTGCCATTGGACTGTTATATTTAGAAAAAAATATACTAATAAATTTTTTAAAAATTTTACATTTAATAATTTCCACACTATAAGAAAACCTATACTTATCCTTCAATACATAACACGCACATTTATTCTCGACCATTATATAATTCATATTAAAATAAAATCTTTAGATCTATAAAAGAAAATTTAAATAATTTATAAATTTACTATTTAAAATTTATTGATGATTTACCGTTATAATTATTAGCATAGCCATTTATTTGTATTTATTTGAAACAGATGCAAGTTGCTACTCCCTCCGTCCTAAAATATTAGTCCCTTATTCCATTTTTCATTGTCCCAAAATATCAGTCCCTCTTCAAAAATCAAGTACAAAAATAATATAAATTTTCTATTTTGCCCTTCTTTTAAATTAATAAACAATATAAAAAGTATAATTATGACATTAATTTTCTCAAAAAATGTACTATCAAAAGGGTAATTTTGGAAAGTCAACTTTTTAAAAATCCAATAACTGTACTACCAAAAAAAGTTGAATTCCCCAAAAGGGACCATTATTTTGGGACGGAGGGAGTATTACTTTATATAGCCTTTAGCCAGTCCGTACGCTTTGAGTTGTCCTTTATTGGTTGGTATTGAAACACCGTACTATTTTGAAAAGGATGTTAAAAGTCATTTTTTTAGTTTTTAATTCATTTTTTTTTCTCATAAAAAAATTTAAAAGTTTTAAAAAATAATTTTTAATCATCTTTTCAAAACATTCTGTTGCTCCAAATATATTGTAATTGATGGTAAAAGTAGAATTTATAATTTTATATTAAGTAATTAAAAAATAAAAAGAGAAAATTACATATACCTCCCTTGAGGTTTGACTAAATTACAGATATCCCTGAGATTTCGGAAATTACATCTCACCTCCTGAGATTTGTATTTTCATAATAATTTGTCCCTTAAGGTTTATATTTCATAATAAATTACCCCTACTTTGTTATGCAAATATAGCATTCAAAAAAAAATTTGTAATTTCTTAAACCTCAGGGATATTTGTAATTTAGCCAAACCTCAAGAGGGTATACGTAATTTGCCCAAATAAAAAATATAATAAATTTTGATTGATAAGAAATAAATTACATGACACTCTAAAAACACCCAATAATGTTTAGGGTATTTATGTATAGGTCTTAATAAGTGAATTTATTGTTTACTAGGTCCTGTGAAAAAATTTGGTCATAAAAAAACGTCGCTAATTATAAATTTTAGCAACAATTTATAAAAATTATGATAAAAAAAAGTTATTAATTCTCGATTTTTAATGACGTATGTAAAAAATTATTACAAAAAAATATTTTTAACAATAATTTTATCAAATTTTATTTTCTATAAGACTTGATGAAAATTAAATATAATTATTAAGATCTATTAGTAATTGATCGTAATATTATAGACGTACGTGTAATACGACTCACCTATGAATGACACGACTCACTGGACAAGAATAATTGTCTACATATGAACAAGTATTCAATAGCTTGGAATTATGTATGTTCATACTATTTCACTAATTATTATATATTTTGTCTTTTTATATTTTTTCAATGACATAATACAAAATTATAGGTTATAAATTTTTTTTATCGATCATAATATTTTAAAGCACCACACAATTGTATTCTAAGAACACCCAATAACCACTCCTTCATATGTACATTATCAACTCCTCTACACAACTACAATTATAATTAAGACTGTGCAAAATACCGCTAAATCCGCTAAAATCGCACCGATCCGCATCAATTCGAACTGTTTTAACCGCTAATCGCAGTTTAAATTTTAAAATTTATAATCCGCCAACCGAATCGCTCTGCTTCTTTCCACTATAGTTAATACATATATATTTTTTAATTTTCAATGAAATATCAATGTAAAATTAAGTGTGAGAGAGATTTAAGATATGAATTTTATTAGAAATTAGTGGTTATATATATAAAACATATTATGTAAAATTACTTTGTGTTATATATCTAAAAAATATTATACAAATTAATGTTATATGTTATGCAAATGTATGATAATTAGGTGTTGCTTGGGGTGTTCTAAATAAGTGCACTTTTTATCTTTTTGGACTAAAAAATTGAGGTTGAAAATATAGATGTTTGAGTTAACTTTTTGACAATCCGCTAATTCGCCAAAAACCGTCCAAACCGCAATTTGTCAATCCGCTAACCCACCATTTGATTTGTAATTTTCCTCTCAAACTGCCCGAACCACACCGCACACACTCCTAATTACAATCACAACCACAACTAGGATACTGTAAAATACCGTTCAATTTGCATTGATTTACTTATTAATTGCAAGTTAATTTAATTCACAATTTAAAACTTATAATAATGTGCCTTTGAAATCACTTAATCCGCTATACTTAATACTTATATTTTTTTAATTTATAATAAAATATTAAAATAAAAATTAATATAAAAAAAATTAAGATGTAAAATTTATTACAAATTAATATTATATAAATAAAAAATAAGATAAATTACAAATGCACTCTCTGAGATTTGCTTAAAGTACAAAATTTCACTATAATTTGAAAAATTACAAATATCCTATTATTAGAATTTTTTATTTAACAGAATTAATTAAAAAAATAAAATTCATAATTATTTTCTTATACAATAATAAAATTATTTAAATTATTAATTGATACAGATTTTTTATATCATTAAAAAATATTAATTAACTTGATAATTTATTAATAAAATGGACAATTCGTTATGGAATTAAAAACTTTAAAAAATGAAATATAATTTCTCAATTTAAAAGAGATTATTGTGTGTTTGGTTTGAGTTTTTTGGATTAAATTTTTTAAAAATTGAGTTTTTTTTTATATTTTTTTTGTTTTTAGTGAATATTTTTAAAATTTTAAACATTTTTTTTTACTTTTTTAGATGCATCTTACTTAGACGTATCTAAAAAGTAAAAATTTGTGAAAAAATATTTTAAAAAATTAATAAATACATAAAAATACAAAAAATATATTGAATTCTCTTTCTTTCTTTTTTTTTTTTTGCATTTTTGGTATTTACTGAATTTTTAACAGACTTTCTTCATAAAAATTATACTTTTTATGTGTATTTATGTTAGGTGTGTTTAAAAATTAAAAAAAAAACTTAAAAAATTTAAAAAATTCAATAAAAATAAAAAAAATAAATTTTTTAAAAAAATGTTTTTGAAAAATAAAAAACAATCAAAATGATTCATATTTCAAATATGAGGAAATGTATTTCAGACTATCCTTCAATCATCCAAACTCACAATTTAATTTATTTATAATTTTAATTTCAAATCAAATCTAATCAATATTTGAGCCAAATGCACCGCACGCTCCTAACCTCAACCACCTCTGTCTCTCATCCATAGCTTTATCTATATAATCCTCCAATCTCTTCCTCTCACCCCTTCACACCCAGAAGAGATATCAGAGCAATTCACCCAACCCATCTTCAAAACCAGCCTCAAAACAAATGCTCATCTCGATTCTTGATCGATACATATATAGTTGAAGAAGAACGGGGCTGGATTGTAGAGACACAGAGAGAAAGAAAGGAAAAAAAAATTGTGAATTCGATCGGGGGTAAAACCCGGGTTGAGAAGTTGTAGACATCACGGCTATACAAAGAGAATTGCGGCCACTCATACATGTCCGGGCTGTACGACGAAAGGGTTGTGTAGTTGAGAGCAACCCATCGCCGCACGGCGGACGTGGCGCTCTGCCTTCCGAAGGCGGCAGCCCCTCCGACCTCCTCTTCCTTGCCGGCGGCGGCGCCACCACCGCAACCCGTTAGTTTAGGCCTATATTAGCTTGGAATAATTCTACTTAATTGTATATTTATTCAAAAGATCTGTTGCTTGTTGCTATATATTTAATTTTCGCGCGAGCTGTTTGGTGTTTGTGTGTTTCTTGAATTCAAGATGATGTTGAGGATCAAGAGGGTTCCTACGGTTGTTTCGAATTACCAGAAGGAAGAGGCGGAGGAAGGTGCTCGCCGCCCCGGAGGTGGTTGCGGCCGGAATTGCCTCCAGAACTGTTGCATTCTAGGTATTTGATAAATTTCCCGTGTGAAAATTTAAGTTAATTTCACATTTATTTGATTGATATGTGGATTTTTTTTCTTCTGGGTTTTGTCTAAATTGGGGTTTGTGTTGCGTTCTAGGTATGTGAGAAATTTCCTGTGTGGCATAATTTTGAGTTAATTTCACCATTCTTTGATTAAAATGTGGAATTTTTTTTTGGGTTCTGACTAAACTGGGTTTCTGTTGCATTCTAGGTATTTAAGAAATTTCCTGTGTGACATAATTTGAGTTAATTTCACATCTCTTTGGTTGACATGTGGTTTTTTTTTTTCCTCTTCTGGGTTTTGACTAAATTGGGTTTTGAATTAGGAGCAAAGCTACCTCTGTATGCTTTCAAGAGGGTGAACAAGATTGTCGGTGAAAAGGGTCTAATTGCCCATGACTACATAGAGCCTTCCATTGCTTTCTTGGATTCTCTTCTTCTTGGGGAGGTAAAATTGTGAAAGTTTTAGCTTCAAATTTTGTATTTACCAATCGTCATAATCAGCTGATATCGTTACCACTTGATGGTAGTGGGAGGATCGTATGCAGAGAGGGCTCTTTCGCTATGATGTCACCGCTTGCGAAACCAAGGTCTTTGCCATTTTCTTTCTCTTCATTTTGATAGTTTATAGCTAAATTTTTCAGTCTAAATTCTGTTTGGTTGAGTACTTTGCTCAATATGGTTCATCTGGACCTGTATGATTACTAGCTATGCGTGCATATGCAATCGGCTTTCAATTTTAGATCTAATTTTTTTGGTGATTTGATGAATGGGAAATATGGGTTGAATTTGAAAAGTATGGACAGTTATTTACTGGATTAGTTAACAACATGGACATTTTTGAAAAGAAAGAAAGAAAAAGAAAGAAAGTGTAACAATCCTTCAAAACTTTTCGGAGTTGTGTGTTTTATATAATAGAATAGATGATGATTTTTCAGGTAATCCCGGGAGAGTATGGATTCATTGCACAGCTGAATGAGGGCAGACACCTTAAGAAGAGGCCAACTGAGTTTCGTGTTGACAAGGTCCTGCAGCCCTTTGATGGGAACAAATTCAACTTCACTAAAGTTGGACAGGAAGAGGTGCTTTTCCAGTTTGAAGCAAGTGATGAAGACAATGAAACCCAGTTCTTCCCAAACGCACCCATTGATGTTGTGAATTCTCCAAGTGTCGTGGCCATCAATGTATGCCTGCTTTACTTGCTCTTCATGTTAAGATTGTGTATAGAAGAAGTTTTAGCTAAGCTGGTTTATTTTAATTATGCGTCAACAGGTTAGTCCTATTGAGTATGGTCATGTACTTTTGATCCCTTGGATTCTTGAATGCCTGCCTCAGAGGATTGACAGGGTGAGTTTCTTGCTTGCTCTTTACATGGCAGCAGAAGCTGGAAACCCGTACTTCAGATTGGGTTACAACAGCTTGGGTGCATTTGCTACAATCAACCACCTTCATTTCCAGGTTCATATAATATCCCCTTTTTCGTATCCCTCAAATTGATTATAACAATTCTGTCATCATATCTCTTACTAGCAGCAGGTGCACACGCAATGTTGTGCAAAGGTCTGTAAAAAGTGTGAGGAAGCATTCACACCAACTGACACGTGCACTTTATATAATAGCATAAATAGTATAGATAATTAGTTAGTTTTTCTGTTGGTAAAGGAAAGAAAGTTCTATGATTTTTATGGCTACAGGCTTATTACTTGGCTGTGCCCTTTCCAATTGAGAAAGCTCCGATTAGGGAGATAACTACTTTGAATGGTGGGGTGAAAATCTCTGAGCTGTTAAATTATCCAGTCAGAGGTCTTGTTTTTGAGGGTGGAAATACTCTGGAAGATTTGTCCAATGCTGTCTCGGATTCCTGCATTTGCCTTCAAGATAACAACGTACCTTACAATGTGCTAATCTCTGAGTCTGGGAAACGGATCTTCCTTGTACCACAGGTGAGAGAGCATTCAAACCCATATCGCTTAGTGTGCTTATGAACTCCTTTTCATGTTCTTTCAGTTTGGGTTGCCTAAACTCATGGTTTTTATGTGTTGAATGAACAAACAGTGTTATGCTGAGAAACAGGCTCTAGGAGAAGTGAGTTCTGAGCTTCTGGACACCCAAGTGAACCCGGCAGTGTGGGAAATTAGCGGGCATATGGTTTTGAAGAGGAAGAAGGACTACGAGGAGGCATCTGACAAAAATGCTTGGAGGCTCCTTGCTGAGGTCTCCCTTTCCGAGGGGAGGTTCCAAGAAGTAAGTGCTTTGATCTTTGAATCCATCACTTGCGTTGATGATGGAAATGAAAGTGTTTCTCAGAGCTTCATGGGGGAGCCAAATGCCACACCTCAACCTCTTGAAGAAGTCGATGACCTCGATAAATCATCCTGCCATGCTATGGTGCCCGGGAAGCAAGAATGCCTGGTTCTGCACTGAAGATTTGGGCCTTCTGAAAGACGCATCAATGTTCGTGTGTATGTTTCAATTAAATATTGCAGTATGCTATGGGAGTGTTTATATATCTATGTGAAATATCATCTCTCTAAATAAGGCAAACTAGGTTTGCATTGTTGTTGAAGTTGCTTCTGATCTGTGAATTTGCTTTGATATTCTGTTTGCTTGTCCATTGTGGACATATATGTAAAATACTGTGTATTTTGCTGTCATGAGCTATTGAATCCCGCTTGATTAGGACCCTAAAGTTCTTTTGTGCCTATGAGGTAGAGTTTTGCATCTTGAAATTTATAGATAGCTTGTAGTTCTCAAATGCAGGGTTTCATGTAATAGAACATAGGGAAAGCTGCAATAGCTATATGCAAGAAACCATTGGCTCCCCTTCACTGAAATGAGTCAAGTTGGCCCGTTTGTTTTAAGACAGAGTTAGGTTGAGTGAGATTGTAAACAAGGAGATTGTTAGTGTGAGGGAATTAATAAAAATTGTTTGTTCAATGACCACCGAACTAGTAAAAATTCATGTTTATTTTGTTATTTTATGATGAGATTAATTATATAAAATTTTATAAATACTCTTGGTATTTTTGATATATTTTAATATTAAAATTTATATTTTGATGTTATATTATTTTATGTTGATATATATATTTTTTAATATTAAAAATTATTTTTATACTAAATTATTTTTATAAAATAAGGGGCAAAATTGTATTTCTACTTCCAATCCCATTGGATTAGATATCGATATCACCTTTTTCATGGGTTTGTTATTTATATTAAACTATTTTTATAAAATGAGGGGTAAAATTGTATTTCTACCTCTAATCTCATTGGATTAGATATCAATGTTACCTCTCCCATGGCCACTTTCTAAAACAAACATAATTTTTTCAATCCAATCTTACTACTAATCCAATCTCATCCTCCAACTCTAGAAACAAATAGGGCCTTAAGTAGTAAATTATTCCACTTGATTTTACAACTGAACCAGCTTTAAAATGTTTGTTTAGTTTTTGAATTGATTTACAAATAAGTTTTAGACTATCTCCAACCCTGAACCAAATTTGGCATCAAATTTAAAATTTGGTAAAAAAAGTACTTTTTCATGCTCTAACGGTTTCACAAAATTGATATCAAATTGAGATTTCACCAAACGTTTCACCAAAATGAGGACAGGCTCCGCATTTCATCAAAACACTGCGCATGACCGTTTTGGGGAGACCAACCGGTCAACCGGCCGGTTGACCAACCGATCGACCACCAAAAGGTTCAAACAGTTCCAAAAAAAAGGTCAAACAGTTGAAAAAAAAAAAATTTGCCTTACCGGTCGACCAATTGGTTGACCGACCGATCGACCAATTGGTCGACCACTAAAAGGTTCAAAAAGTTCAAAAAAAAAATTTGACTTAACCGGTCGACCAACCGGTTATCCCGGCACAGATTTGATGAAAATTTGATGAAAATCAACCATTGGAGCACTCGGCATCAGATTAAGGAAAAAGTTATTTTTTTACTCAGATTTGATGAAAACTTTGATTCAGGATTGGAGATTCGAGGAATTTGGTTTTATATACTTAATTAATATAATTGAATCTAACCAAGTAATAGGTTGTTTTAATTTGACTTGAAAGCTTAGTGGGTTTTAAAATGTATTTAAATTTAAAATATTTATATATTAAGTTGAATACAAATTAAACACGAGTAATTTGATTTATTTTAGAACATATAATAATGGAAAGATTATTATCAATTAAAAACATGAGAGTTGCTAAGTACTATTAGATGGATTTGGGGTGGTTGTTGTGCGCGGGCATTGCAGCCACTGCTGAATAGCGAAACGGGCCTATTTCGGGGCCTATTATAATAATCTGAACTGTTCATATTTTAGAATATATCAAGTATTTAGATATAAATGTGAGTAGATGAATAGGTAAGCAATATCTGATTAATTTGATTTTTAATAGACATATTCTACTTGATGTATTCTAAAATATAAACAGTTCGAATTATCAAAATAAGTCCCGAAATGAGCTGATTTCGCCATACAGCAATGACTAAACGTAAGACCAATTATGTCTAACAAACCTAATTGGTAAACGTACGACCAATTATATCTAAAAATTAAATAATATATTTTTAGATATAATCATAGCTTGCGGCCTTTCTTGTGTAAACCGATGCAGGAGGTGAAAAAAAAAGTTTTTAAAATAATGAAAACATGAGTTTGAGTTCAAATTGGTGGAGTGATTGCGGCCATTTTCAGTATAATCTAATTTATTAATTTATTAATATCATATCATTTGCACTAAAAATTAAAAAAAACCTGTTTATTTTTTGTTTTTCAAAAACACTTTTTAAAAAATTTTACTTTCTTATTTTCTTTTTTTATTGAATTTTTTTAATATTTTAAGCAATTTTTTTTAAAATTTTTAGACCAATTTAACATAAATACATATAAAAAGTATAATTTTTGTGAAAAAAATCTTTTAAAAATTCACTAAATACAAAAAATACAAAAAAAAAATGAAAATTTAGTATATTTTTCATATTTTTATGTATTTATTAAATTTTAAAAATATTTTTTCACAATTTTTTTACTTTTCAGATATATCTAAGTAAGGTAAATCTAAAAAAGTAAAAAAAAAAATACTTAAAATTTAAAAAACATTCACTAAAAACAAAAAAAACACAAAAAACAAAAAAAAAACTCAATTTTCAAAAAATTTAATTCGAAAAACTCAAATCAAACACACATTTTGTATTTTATTTATTTATTTATTTATTTGTATTTTTGGTATTGAGTGGATTTTTAAAAGGTTTTTTTTCATAATTTTTTACTTTTTCGGTATAATTATGTTAGGTATGTCTAAAAAATTTATAAAAAAAATTACTTAAAATATTTAAAAAATTCAGTAAAATTAAAAAAAAAAAACACGAATATTAAAAAATTTTACTTTCTTATTTTCTTTTTTTATTGAATTTTTTTAATATTTTAAGCAATTTTTTTTAAAATTTTTAGACCAATTTAACATAAATACATATAAAAAGTATAATTTTTGTGAAAAAAATCTTTTAAAAATTCACTAAATACAAAAAATACAAAAAAAAAATGAAAATTTAGTATATTTTTCATATTTTTATGTATTTATTAAATTTTAAAAATATTTTTTCACAATTTTTTTACTTTTCAGATATATCTAAGTAAGGTAAATCTAAAAAAGTAAAAAAAAAAATACTTAAAATTTAAAAAACATTCACTAAAAACAAAAAAAAAACGCAAAAAACAAAAAAAAACTCAATTTTCAAAAAAACTCAAATCAAACACACATTTTGTATTTTATTTATTTATTTATTTATTTGTATTTTTGGTATTGAGTGGATTTTTAAAAGGTTTTTTTTCATAATTTTTTACTTTTTCGGTATAATTATGTTAGGTATGTCTAAAAAATTTATAAAAAAATTACTTAAAATATTTTAAAAATTCAATAAAATTAAAAAAAAAACACGAAAAAGAAGAAAGTAGAATTTTTTGAAAAATATTTTTTAAAAGAGAAACCAAACAAAGTGATTATTATTATTCAAATTTAATTTCCAAACACAACCAAATAATTGTAGGGGAAAAAAAAATCTTAATATTAATTCTTAAAAATAATGACAAATAGAATTTTTGTATATGGAATTTCATTTTCAATAAAAAACACTCATATTTAAAAAATAATACTAATAATAATAAAATTCATTCATGGTTTCTATTTCAAAATCATATATAATTTTTGTTCAGTTATTAGTTAATCGTCAAACAAGAATTCTGTGTAGTGTGGCGTAGACAAGTGAGAGGTGAGTTGAGCTTCTTTAAACCCTTCTATTTTTTCGTTTCAATACATTTCTTAATTCGTTTCTCGTATTGAATATTAGCATTGTTTTTATTGATTCATCATCTCTATTCAAATACATATATACAAACCCATACAATCAATGTGATGTGAACCCAAAAGGTAAAAATTGCATCAAGTTTTTTCTAATTCCAAAGTTTTTCTTATGAATTTTGATTTCTCAACCTCTCTCAAATGTTTGATTAACCCTCTTGTACTTGTTAATCAATGGAGTTATTTCATGCCAAAGATTAATTTTTGTTTTTAAGAAGAAAGATCTTTGCAATGTCAGTCAAACTATACCTGTTTTTGTTTGGTTCATGTATGAGTTTGGAAGATTACTTTTAATGGGTATAGCTTGTTTTGTTTTTTGGTTCATGTATGAGTTTGGAAAATTACTTGTGATGGGTATTAGCTCACACCACTTTTTGAACTTATTCATGTAATCAATCTCTAATGCACAACAATCTTTCTCTTTTGTGTATCTGCATCTTATTTTCATCTTGGCCTCCAGGTGTTTGATAAATTACCTCAAAGAGAGTTGTGTGTTTGTGTGTGCCAATTAGAAACTAAACCTTTTGGTTTTTTGAAAGTATGTGTATAACATACATTGAATCAGTCTTCAACTGCTAATCACCCCTGATTTGAGCTGAGCTGTTGGTTATACGATTCTCCTATTAATTTTGGAATTAAGATGTTGAAATATAATTCATGAACTTGGATAAAGTTGGCTTCAGTTCATTAAGATGCACATTAAATGGCAGGGATGATTAATACTGCCTCTTAACGCTTTTCAATGTGTGTGAGCATAAGAGTGAAGGTTGAGTCTTCAGCATCAGAAGTTTCATTGGTTAAAAAATGAAGCTTTTCAGTTCTTATGATCAAAGAAGAACTTGTCTAAATTATTATTTTTTGTTTTGTTATAAGGGCTGAAAATAACTCCAACAAACAGAATTCCATCCTATTCCAGTTGTTCTATAATTGCAATGACTTCTTTGCCTTCGTTTTCCACCTGTACATTACATGGTGCCATGTCGGCTCCTACAGCAATGCAGTGTTACAAAGACTGCATTTTCAATTATTCGAGTCTCTTCAAGCAATCGCTTCATAGTAAGTTGATTTCTGTTTCTTCCAGCCCAACACAATCAAAGGTGTTGTCCACTCTGAAACCAGTAAACTGGGAACAAAGTGGTATGAATAGAGTCCAATGTCAAGCACAGGATGTTGAAAATAAAACTTTTTTGGTTGGGAATAAGTTTCAACTAGATGATGTGGTTGAAGCTCAGCAATTCGATAGAAATATTCTCAGTGCTATATTTGAAGTGGCCCGTGAGATGGAGAAGATTGAGAAAAACTCACCCGGAAGCCAAATTCTAAAGGGCTTTCTAATGGCTACCCTCTTTTACGAGCCCTCAACTAGAACTAGGCTTTCCTTTGAGTCTGCCATGAAACGGTTGGGTGGGGAAGTTTTGACAACAGAAAATGCACGGGAGTTTTCATCAGCTGCGAAAGGAGAGACACTTGAAGGTAGCTTAAGTTACCTTAGTCTTAGGAGGTATTTTTGTCTTTTGGTTCTGATTTTGGTGCTTGATTGGCAGATACCATTAGAACCGTTGAAGGGTACTCAGATATAATTGTGATGAGGCACTTTGAAAGTGGTGCTGCCCGAAGAGCAGCAGTCACGGCTAGTATTCCTGTTATAAATGCTGGGGATGGTCCGGGGCAGCATCCAACTCAAGTAAGTCATTTCTTCTTTCTGTAAGTCATTTAGAGAACTGGGATTGATATAATTCAGGGAGCCTACTCAGAAAGAGGACTAGATGATCTCATGCCATGTCCATTTTGCCTTTTCTGGTCAGTGATGAGGATGTTAATGTGTATCGGATAGTTCTGTGAAGATCCATATAAGTGGTGAATTTATTTTCTTAGTTCATTTTTAATCTCCTTTTTCTTTTTCTTTTGGTGATATTAATTTCATTAGGCCTTAATTTTGAAGCACTACTTGTGATTGTGACCACGAGACAGGCTCTTCTAGATGTATACACTATTGAAAGAGAGATAGGAAAACTCGATGGGATTAAAGTTGGACTTGTTGGAGATCTAGCTAATGGAAGGACGGTCCGCTCGCTTGCATATCTGCTCTCTAAGTACCAAGATGTGAAGATCTACTTTGTCGCACCCGAGGTGGTAAAAATGAAGGTACAAACGAAAATATGTCACACTCTGTTTGGTTTGGTTTTTAGAATCTGTTTTAGGATTTGTAAAAGAGGTATATTTCCTCTCACATTTTATGTTTTCTCTGATTTCAGGATGACATAAAAGACTATCTGACATCAAAGGGATTAGACTGGGAAGAAAGTGATGATCTAATGGAAGTTGCTTCTAAATGTGATGTGGTGTACCAAACTCGCATTCAGCGAGAGAGGTTTGGAGAGAGAATTGATCTTTATCAAGAAGCTCAAGGCAAGTACATTGTAGACCGGGCTGTCTTGCACGCAATGCAAGAGCATGCTGTGATCATGCATCCTCTCCCAAGGCTTGACGAGGTTTGATCATCCGCTTTGCTCTTGACATCGGAATGAGATTTATGAGTACATGTTTTCAAAATGATTAATTGTTTCCTAGTTTTAATGATGTTTCTTTTTAGATAACCGTGGATGTTGATGTGGATAAGAGGGCTGCCTACTTTAGACAAGCGAAGAATGGTCTCTACATTCGGATGGCTCTGTTGAAGCTTCTGCTAGTTGGTTGGTGAGAGATAGATGTTTTGATGCATAATGTTTTCTTCCTTTTTGTCATTACATTTGTGGACATAGGAAGGAAAAGATGTGTTCTGCCGTTTGAAGCATATTGTTTTCTTCCTTATTTCATTACATTTGTGGACATAGGAGATTTTGATAGGAAACTATGATAATATTTGGTTTTGAAGTATGTTTGGACCATTTTTGACTAATAATATCTATGGTTCTTTTACTTTTCCAAACTGATTTCCCCATTGAGCCATATACTATTATATAGTGTGAACAAATTTTTGAACTTGTCTTTTTCTTTTCTTTTCTTTTCTTTTCATTCTTAAGTTGACCTTATGTACGAGGGATACAGATGGTCTACATAGTTCCCAATACTATGATGACTATTGGAGATTTCTACAATCATGTACAGATCGTAATTCAAACAAGGGGATACGAAAATTGGCGAGGAGGTGAAGCCAACCTATTGATAACTCGAGGATTAGTCGGAAGATTATCCAACACTCCCAACGTTGGATTTGCATATGAAATTCAAGGAGTAACTGAATTTCTAACATCTCGAGGAGTCAAAGCCATACCAGGAGAACAAATCCCTACTGATGTCTTGCGAGGTCGCAATTGGATCATAAGGCCACCAGCCAGAAGGGTACATCCTCAACAGCCAACAACTGTTGTTTCTCGAAATTTGCCAGGAGGCAATTTCAGCCTGCGATTTGGAGATTATGTAGCTGCTCAACGTACAGATCCAGTTCATTATGACTTTGAATTTATACCGTTGAACTCAACAGTATATGTGTTTTCTTCCAAGGCTTCAGCTGGGACGGATTCAGAGTCTACGACGCAAGTTGTTGCTCCTGTATCAAGAATTGCGTGTAGAGGGATCTTCTGTAATCCTGGAATTTCCAGTTCCACAGTGAGATTGTAGAGCATGTTTTTCCTCTTCTCTTTTAATTCTCCTCCTGCTACAACTTCTTCAATAGCAAGGACTTTCTCTGTTGGAACTTCTTCAAATTGAACATGAGCTTCAGCTGCCTCAGCTTCTTTTTCCAACTCATGAAAAAGACACAGGCCCTATATATGGCAGAGAGGAGTAAGTCCATTGAAACCCTGTGGTGAACGAGAAATTTAACTGGTAAGGACCCACGGCCAACAACAGCAGCACCTGGAGCGCCACTGTTTGAAGATCAGATCCGAGAATATCGTCAGGACCAGCGACGAAATTATGTTTTGCAGAGGAGAGCAAGAAACGCACTTCAACGAATAAGGGGGCGTCCTTCAACATCAAACACCTTGGAGCAGCAGATCTCTCCAGAAGTGCAATTACAATTATCTATGGCGGAAAGAGAACTGCTGATTTCAAAATTTACAACTTCTCCACTCTTTTTTGACAACTTCTCTTTTTTGAAGTCATCTTTTTCCATCTAAAGTTTCATCGGGTGCACTGTACACACACCTTGTTAACTTTAAAATCCATTTGCAGGGTGTCAATACTGGACTGTTTGGTGTCAACTTTTTTAATATATAAATTTAAAATTAAAATGCACAATTTAAAATCATTTCCTTCCCAGTTTCTTGATAATTAATTATTTTATTTTATATATTTAAGTTATTTATCTTATAAATTACAAGTAAAAGTTTCATCAAAAAGATATTTATCACAAAAACGAAAAGAACCAAAAAAAAAAAGAAAGAAAGAAAGAAAAAAAAGGGGAAAGTTTAACAATCCAATATGTTGCAACTGCATCTTTGGTTGGGAGAGGGGGAACTTTTTTTAAAACCATCTATTTTGAAAAGTATTTATTAATAGGCTTAAAATATTGACCAACATAATTTGTTTTGACAAGTAGAGATGCTTTTGTTTTGTTTTCCGCACAAAAATAAGAACAGCATAAAACAAAGTGTTTTCAAGCTTTTCATTGATCTTTTTGTTTCTGAAAACACAACAAACAAAACCAAAAAACCGAACAAATTAAGAGTTTTTGATTCATGACCTAACCAAACAGGTAATTCATGGATCAATTCCACCATCTAAGAGAAGACCTAGTGAGTTGAGCCACCATATATAGAATCATGGCTCCGAAAAGAAAAAAACTGCATAAACAGCCTTCGAGCCATCAACTTATGGTACACGCGCACACAAAAAATATATATATACATATATAGAAGAAAAGAAGACAGCTATACTAAGTTACGATGAAGCTTTACTCAGTTTGGTAAGTAGATTAATAAATTACATATATATAACATTTCAACGATTCAAACAAGTGAAACCCAAAATGGATGACAACCCAATGGTTCCTAGTCTGAGAATGCTTACTAGTAGGTAGGGAAATTTGGAACTACATCGCGAGCCCATGATTCAAGTCCCCCATCGATATCCTTTGCTGAAGCGAAACCCATTTTGCGAAGGTACTTAATGGCCCTCTGTGAATCATTGCCTCTTCTACAGACTACATAGAGAGAAGCAGCTGAAACAGTATCACTTCCATTGGCTCTTCTTGCTTTAGGGCTGAAGATATTTCGGGTAATCTAGCCGCCAAACTTGACAGTGGAATGTTCATGGATTTGGGAAGAGAGACGATCTTAAAGTGGTGTGCTGGTCGTACATCAAGCAATACGTGCGCTTCTCCTTTAACAACTCGCTCGTTGAATTCTTTACTGCTTATTCTCGCTTCAGTAGGAAGTAGGTTTAACTTCAACGGGGACTGCAATCAATGAGAGAGCGATTCTCAAGAACTGGGCTCTAAATGTATAGAACCTTAATTGCCACTTTCATTTCAATATTTTAGTATGAGATGAATATTAATTTAAAATTCAGTTCTATAGTCATGGAGACAAAAAGCAATGGATCTACTCAAACAACAATCTAATGACAGAAAAATGTAACAGCAAATGTCACTTTTTAAGAACAAATAAATCTCAAGCAAGCTAATTAAAACACAATATGCACTATAAAATGGAAATAAAAGAACACAAGCCTACCATGAAGAAGGGAGATTGTGTGAATTTCTCATAGTCAAACTTTTGAAATTTCTGTTGGGTGAATGCTGTGTTTACTCCACAAACTTCACATTGCAATGACCTCCCTCTAATCTTGACCTAAGTAATATCATGGTATGAGATTAATAAAAAGAACTTCTTAGAAACTATTTTAATTACAACACAACCAGAAAATACTGAGGATCCTTGAAAGAAGACAATTTTGATCAACTCAGTGTTTTAAAAAGCTCTAGGCGGACTAAGGCGACAAGGTCTCTTATAGCTTAAGCACGAAGCGAGAAGCGGCACGCGCCTTGCCAAAGTGAGGCTCAATAGTAGAAGAAAAGCAAAATTATAAAATAGGCAAACTTTTCAACATAACAAATATATGTAAAATTCTGAAAACCATAAAGCAAGCTTTACCATTTCAAATAATCTTTAAACATAACATTCAATCTTCTAAAAAGTAGAAATATAATATCCAACAAAATATATAAAGTCTCACATTCACATCCACCCAAAAGCTCAAATTTTAAGATCATCCACACTCATAAAGTTCAAAACAACTAAGCTTCTAGTTTGTGGTTCAAAAATTAAAAAAAAAGAATGAAAAAGAAGTCAGTCCTATGGTTGCATTCTACTCAAAACTTAATAATAGCCATCATCATCATGGAATCAAAACACTTTCTGATCGCTTTTTTTAATCTTCTCCACCTAGGGTTTTTTTTAAAATCACTTTCTACTCTCTTTTGATTACGTTTGGTCATTTTATATTGAAGAGTTTTAATTCCCTATGGGTATGCCTACAAAAAAAAAGCACTTAATCAACAGTTGGTGCAGAAAAATAGGTAAAGACCATGAAGCCCACGCTTTGCGATTCGAAAAAAAGCCCTCGCCTCAGCACCTCGCCTTGGCCTGTTTGAAGCACAAGGCTGCACCTCATTGCGCCTCGTGCTTAGGCGCGCATTTTAAAACACTATCAACTGCCATAAGTCCATTCCATCTTGTCAAGAAAAATCAATGGTGTTTAAAAGGACAAAACTAAAATGTCACAAAATTTAAATGCAAATCAGCTACTTACTAGGTAAAAGTTATGGGAGAATTGCAAATGAGTTGGAAGAAGATAAAGTAATCATGGAGGCGCAAAAGGGTTTGTGTTCTCACTTGCACCAGAGCACAACCACTTGCACCTCCATATTTTTTGTAATTACTTTTCACTTCTTCTCACTGATTTGTAATTCCCCTAAAATTATCCTCTACGAACAGGAAATGTTTATTTTCCCTTTTAGGAATCTAGAACTCTCAGGGAAAATCAATTTTCTTTAGTCTAGCAATCTCAGTCAGAACTAAAGAAGATTAAGTTAATTTGTTAGAGCAGAAATATATGCACAAACAACTTAAGTTGAACAAAAATAAATAACACTTACGCTTAAAAGAAGATAACAGCAGGGCATGAGTAAAAAACTGAGAACTTCAAATCGGAAGAAGTTTCAAATATATGGAACTAGAAACATACAATACAAATCTGGGCAGACAATGCATAAGTAGCATCCTTCCTGAGAGTGGTTCACCAATAGCACTTGCAATTTTTCTAGCTTCAAGGGCTTGGAAACAGCCAATTATACCAGGAACTGTAAAATTTATACATATAAAGAGCAGTTAAATAAATGAATAAATGAAGGTGTCACTCTTTGTATTCTGTGTGTGTGAAGCTGGACTGCAGACTTGTAAGGCATAATTTCTCAGCGTCATCATATCTCCTCTCACAGCCAGTTCAAGGCCAGATAACGACACAACTAGGTTAGTCAACTAAATAACCAATCTTGAAATGGCCACAATGGCAAAACAAGATTTGCACCGGGATAGGCAAATCCTGCAAGAATCACTCACAATCTGTACGTAGATCATCTTTTCAGTCATTCACTGTCCTCTGAGGTTTAACATGTCTCGGTCACCATCCCTCATTATTTTGGGCGTTTACATAAAGTTTTGACTCACCAAGGATGACTTTTTCCTCTATTGCTTGGTTAGTTTTGTAAGGACAAGAACTTTTTTAAGTTGCAGTATTGGACATTGGTACTGTTTTGTTGTGATTGCACCCGTCATTATGGAACGAAACAACAAAAAACTTCAAACTTCGCCTTTCAGAAATACGCTGTTGGGACAAAGGATTCAAACATTCAATCCAGTTAAGAGTTCTTGATCACCACTTTTACATTCGCCTTTTGTGATACCCATTCTCAT